GCATCCTTTTTATATTTTAAAGTGTTGTTTTTAAAATCTCTACAGCTTATTCACTGTTATCTGTCTTTTCTTGCTTTCTTTTGCCACCTGGCTTCAGTGTCATTGGATTGGACGATCTAAAATATCTGAAATTTCTTGAAGGCCTGGTCACTCCACAGCAGCCTGGCGGCAAAATTATGAACTCTTTTTCTTTATTTCTCTTCTGTTGTCCTCTTTATTTTTATGTTTGTTTCCTGAAATGAAGGTGCTTTTATGAGGTTCTTGATTTTATAAAAGTACACATAAGAAGGAAATAATGTGAGAATAAATAATGTGAGAATCTGTTCATATAACATATGGGCTTCTCCTGCCTGCCTAGGTATTTTAAAGCTACATGATCAGATCAGTTAATTATCATTTTATCATTTATGTAAAATTTTTGCTAGCACATCTGAGTCCTAAGCAAAAGCAGAAGTGTCAGCAGACCACAGGAGAGACTGATTGTACACAGTTGTTGATCTGGCCAAAAAACAGGAACAAAACCTTTTGGTCATCTTTCTTATTCATAAGAGTCCAAGTCTAAATTGCTGAGCAGTTCTAATAGATGTCTTTTCTCGCACTGTTGTGTGCAACCATTCCTCATTTCTAGTAAGAAAAAACAGTATTGCCAATGTGAGAAGCTTCATGCCTCAAACATAGTTCATATTCATGTGCAAAACCTAGTGAGACTTGGCAAAGGTGTCTGCAGCTATTGTCTAATTCTGTGTAAATTGTGTTCCAATTTGCAGCTTCAGTTTCTATTCAACGACGAGGTGGTTTCCAAGCTTCTTTAATGCCTGACTTACATTTACTGGGTCAGTGCATTCACATCTGAAAACAACTTCTACTGTTTCCTGTGTAGTGAAGAAGACGCCAGACAAGAGTTATGTTTTTCAGAAAAATAGATGTCTGTATTTCAAGAATCCACAGTTCCTGGTCAGGAAAATTCTGAGCAATTCCTTTGAGCAAGTATTATAGGTAGAGGGCAAAGATTGGGGGCATGAGAACTAAGTAAAGTGCTTTCTCACAAGATGTAAGCACATGGTGCAGAGTTGGGGTGTGGGTACCAAGGTAGCCACCAGTGGAATCCAACTACTGCAGTTCCTTGGGAGAAGGATGCCTCTTGGCTCTTCTCCATCTTCTTGAAAATACCTTACTCCAAGCCTTGTTGGAAGTATGTTCATCTTTTCCTCTTTCTTTGGTTACATGTGCTAAAGATGGACAACTAGCTTTTCCTGCCAGATAGGACCATAATGCTAATAGTCAGGGGTATTGCCACTCAGAAAGGGAGGAAGAAGAAACAGCGACTCTCTGGAGTGCTGCTGAGGAGTGTTTTATTTATGCTGCTGTGAGTGTGTGTCATTGGTCCTCAGTCAGACGTCTAAGCACTAGTTCATCCTGGAATGTTTCTAGCCATTAAAGTAGGCTCACAGGTGTAAACAGGCCCAAACTTAACCCAGAAGGTTCTCAGTATTTTATTTCTTTTGTGCATAAGGAAGTAAAATGCAAGTCTCAGTTCTCAGGTGCTCTTGAAATTATGCAGCTTGTGCTAGAAAATCTACCCTCCTTGTTTTTCTTCACCTCTCTGTTAAACCTGCCAAGCCCTGTTGACATTGATAAGGATTAGGTTTTTTGTTTTCTTGGATGAATTGAGTCTCCTGTTTATCAGTTCAGATATTCCACAAACTCAGAGGCTAAGGGGATTCTCAAAAGGCATCTTTCCAGCTGGTGTTTGCAGTACAGTGCATGTGACCATCTGACCCAAGTTTTGCCTCAATATGCTGTGTGTTTATGGTGGGCACTTTCTCCTTTGAATTTTCCCCAAATCAGTTTAGAGTGGTTCATTTACTGAGTCACTGGGTTTGCATATGAACAGCTTAATCATCAGCTATGGTGGGTTCTAAAGCTGGAAAGCAAGGTGCCGTTGAGCCAATGTCTACCTGCAATGCTTAATTAATTTCTCAGTGATGTTTCTGGCTTCTGAATATTTTGCTGCTGGTTTAACGCAGAGGGAAATGTTTGATATATAATGTTAGGGGTATGCCACCAACAGCCCAGATTCAGATTTTTCCAGATGTGCCACTGCACTACTTACAGGAGGCATCGTGTATGTAGTACCATCTGCCATCATTGATGCCATATTCTGTAGAATGAATGCCAGCTCCATTCGCAAGTCTTTACTGTGGCATCCAGCTCATCATTTCTATGGTTCACTTCAGCAGGTGTGAAAAGACCTGGACTGCCCTGCTGTGAAGCTTAGAAACCATGGAAATCACAGCCAAAAATGCCCATTTGGACACAGTGCCAGTCAGTTCACTCAGAGCCAGTTCATTACAGTCTGCATATTGCACTTTGCCAACAAGCTGATCTCCCACATCTAATGCCAACTACGTCTTTCCTTCAAACAGCTGACATGTGTGCAAAGGCATCCATTCCAATTCATCAATCGCTTCAGCTTTTGCTCTAGTGTTAGGTTAATAACTATCAAAGGCTCGTTCTTTTCTCACTTCTGACCATGTAGATGTTGCCTCTTACTGTCTGGCAGGTCTCCAGAAGAGACAGAGGTCTGAAAGCTCCTGCTTCAGGAGCTTCAGGGCTTTACATCTCAAATTTTGAACTGTCAAAATGGCACAGTGAAGTTGCTCCAACTTACCTGCATTAGAAATTTCAGACAGTGCATTACAGTACAGTTGGCATTGGGGGTCCTAAAAGTGCTTCACATATGGACTCAGAGGAGTTGCTTTCCCTGCTATAGGTTGAGTGCTTTAAATGTCCACTGGCATTACAAAGTTATTTTAAATAAAAATAAAAAAGTTTAGTCCTGATCAGTTTTCTCAAGGGAAATTACTTAAGTGGACCTGAAAGGTATTCTAATGATATTTAATGGAGAGCAATCTTCACTATAATTTTAGTAGTCTCACTTCATAGGCACTTGAAAGTACAAAATGCCCAACAGGTTATTTAATCTTGATTGTCACCTGACATTATAACCAGGTATGCACTAAGAGTTAGGAGTAGCCATGCAGGATATCAAGGTTGAACGCATCAGCCTCCTACACCATAAACCTTTGTCAGCAGTCTCTTCTACCAGTGTTGGTTCTAGTGAACTTGTGATTATGAACTCAGCCCTCCCTCAGCTGCCTCACTAGCCATCCCTTTGTGTCGTATCTGAAGCCATTCTTTACAGTCCTGCTCAACTCTGCTTTTTCTCTCTGGTGTCTGCGAGGTGGCAGTCCTCACAATTCACCCTATGGTTTCCACTATCTGATGTTAGGGAAGCAGACATAGGACTCTGAGTCCTCTCCCAAACTTGGGGTGAGAGTGAGCTGAGAGGCTGACTTGAGCAGTGGCTTGTCCCCAACTTGTGGTCTGGTAGGCCCCAGCGATGATTTGCTGAACTGCTGAATATCTGTGCAACAGTCTTGAACATCTGTGGTCAAAATGAGGTAGTAAGATGGATTCACAGACTGATACCTCTGTATCAGTTCGTATACTTCATCAATGCTTGTGTCATACACACAAGCAGTTCAACGGACCCAGGAGTAATTCCAGGCAAGTGCAGTGAGTTTTGGACTGTAGAGAGAGAAGAACCACATCTAGATTTTTGGTCTCTGTCACAGTTTTGCAATGTAGTCAAAGTCACTGCTGATTTTGTAACTTTGGAGACAGGCAGGTGAACTGCACTGTTTACCTAAACTCAGTAGTGATCATTAATGTAATGGGTACCCAGAATTTTGTTTCACCCACCCCAAAATTGTGAGCGTAAGCTAGGAATAATAGCAACACTTCTGTTCTTCCAACTCCTAAGTCTGACTTGTCTGCCAGGACAGACTTATACCGTAAGATAGGAACAGCAAGCAAAATCTAGCAGTTGTGTTTTATGCTGAGAAATGGGTATGAATATTCTGTGCTATCAAAGCAAGCAAGTAATGTTATCAAGTATTCCTGTGTTAATTCCTAGCCTCCTGATGTAGGTGTTGGCTTTGAAGTGTTAAAAACCAGAGGGCTATTTTTTAACATGTGTGGATGCTAGGTACTGTGCCGAACCTAGCATTCTTGTGTCCAAAAATCCATCGTTAATGTAGATTTAATAAACTTGTTCCTTCAGCATTCTCACCTCTCTTGGTTATTGAGATGAGACCCAGCTCCTGCATGTAATATATACGTGTATTTTACTTATACTCTTTATCAACAAAGAAATTTTCTTCCCAAGAAAATTAGAAGACTATATTCATATAATATGGATTCTGAGACTAGCCTGATGTAGAAGGGATTGGTTTTTCTTTTCATGCAGTGAGGGAAAGTCATAAAATGAGAAAACTACATGAAATAATTTTACATATGGGGATAAATGCATAGAAATGGACTCAATTACATTAAACATACCAGAAATGTTAGAAAACCGGTTCCCTAAGGTATTTTAATTAATAAAAACCCTAATTATTACTGAACTTTAACTGGAAAGTCTGTACAAACTTGGAAAGAGGTAAGGAAAAACTGGTTTTTGAAAAGAGTATCTGGGGGATGAGGATGTGATTACTAGTGATGCCTGCTTATTGCAGCTATTCTCCCTGTGTTTTTTCTGCTGCCAGAATATAAAAGTTTATTGCTGAAGAAGTTTTTAGTCTTAACTTGAATCTCTTAGGTGGTATCTTAAGGGAGTGTGATCTTTGTACTGCAGATAAAAGAGGTATTAGTTTATCCCTTTAAAATTACAGACACATATGTGAAAGCTAAAACAGAGATGTTTTGGACTCAACTTTACCAAAAAGAAAGGCTAGTAGTTACAATATTAAATACCATATATTGAATATTACAGGCTTCCACATCTGTGGAGTTCTCTAAAGGGATTACGTGAGCGTAAGGGAGGGAGAATTGACTTTGTGGTGATTAGAAAACCAATAAATAGGAAGAGCTGGGAATTTTGTTAACTTTTGGATAATGTTTGTGATGTTTAATCTTGTATGTTCTCTTTCTTCTAGCTACAAATGTCATGGCTCATCCATGGTTTCTTGCTGGGAAATATATCCCTGGTGCTGGTCGAGAACAAGACAGGAAAGGAACAGAGCCGGCCATTCTGGCATTCAGATAACAGCGAAGGTTTGGGGATATGGCAGTGGATGGTATTACCTCTCCCAGATATACTGGATAGGTATGAGTCTCCTCATCATTCTCCTTCATGGTGATCAGTCATTTCATCTCTAGCCACCTGGCAATGAAAGTGGCCAGCATTGCTCCTGGAAGTAGTTCCCACAGGAAGAAGTGCTTTGTCCCTGGAGGTATCTTCTGTTAGAGCAAAGCACACAATTTTAGAACTCTTGAATGGTGGTCTTGGTTCACAGTCTGAGTCACTGGGTAGTCTACAGCAACATGTTTAAACTTCTGTGTCTCCATTTCATTGACTGGAAATAGTCATTCTCCTCACATACTGTTTCATGTGGCATGTTTGATTCTCTTATGTGGTTTGCTAGAGTTGGATGTGAGCTTCGTAGTTGACTTTTTTTTTTTCCTCTGGGTATCAAAGTGCTCAGTGTTCAGTGTGTCTAGATTTGAGGATGAAAGAGATGGGAGAAGAACCTGCTGAAAATCAGACAAGGATGCATCTGAACACCTTTGTGTTAGCTGTAGCAGGAGGCTCAGCTTAATAAAGGGCTGTCTCAGTTATGACTGTATTCTGGCTTTAAGCATAAAAGGTTTATCTGGTAGCATATGCTTAATCTGGTAGCATATGCTTATTTAAAGAGTGTTGTTTTAGCTGTTTCTTACAAGTCAGCTTTAAGGGAATACTCTGTTGTTCATTGTTTACTTTTTGTGTGTGCTCTGGCTTACGCTGTTTATAGAGAAGACACAGACATACTTCACCTCCTGCTGCCCTGGCCCTTAGGCTGTTAAATGCATCTACAATCTGTGTCATGAGCACTGGTGTCCTTTGTCTTTTTTGAAATCTGTGCCCTAGAAGTAATGGATTTCATTAAGGGATTAGAAGTTTGAACAAACATTGTATGAATATGTCTTTTATCTTACTGGCTCTTGGGGATGCATGTAGGCTGCAAATACAAGGACACTGCCAACGCTTTGGTCCTGAATGTATAATTAATATGTGTGCGTCAAAGATTTAAAAAATATCAGCATTAGGCTTATTGTGCAGTCACTGCTGAAGCACCGTTTGTAAAAATACCTGGTTGCTTCATTCCCTTCAGCTGTGTTTCCTTTGAAGAATGGTATATTTTGCCATTATTATTCATGTGATTTATTTTCTGATGTTGCCAGGGGAATGTTTTGTACCTGAATTATTCTGTACTCTGATACTATTGCTTTCCTTTAAATTCTCTCTGGTTGCACAGTCAGGCAGAGAATACTTTGATTGTAGGAGCCAGGCTAGCAGTGGTTCGTGTGGAATTACAGATCCAACTGATACATGGTGCTGACTATTATGCATAAAGTGCTGACACCCTTACTTCCCCATTACTTACAAAGAAAGACAGCTGGGTTCACTGAGGGAAGGGAGTTTGTTGGAGGTTAAGACATAAGCAAGGAAAACTTTGAAGTTTTGGTGTCTCTTGAAGAGTTTTGTCCTTATTTTTTCACAGAAAGTGCCCTATTTTAATGATTTTTTTTTTTTTTCCTAAGATTTGATTTAGTTGAAACCAGTCCTTTCTGGGAAGGATGAACTCTTCTGTGAGGCTTGGAAATACTGCAGGCATTCTTTCTCACCATCTTAAAACCTGTTTCTTAGGAAATCTGGACTGATGTAGAAATTAGGAACTCTATGGAAGTATACACCGAAATGGTACTGGGGGGACTGCAGTATATATACTTTGGAGATAAATGACAGTTTTATTGAACTGTAGGAAGTATTTAATTGATGTGAACGCAATGCTGTTGCTGCTGAAAGCTTGCTGTGTCTGTCTTTTTCTGATTGGTTCCTGTGTCAGTAGCTGCAAGGGTCTGAGTTAGAAGCAGCATGATATTACAGATATTCCTACAGAAGGAGCTGAAACTTTACATCACCTCACAGAAGTAGTAAAGGTCTTGAATAAAGCACACCAGTGTACCAGTTCCACACAAATTAAAGCACATTCCATCGTGATTGGGAAGCTGAATGAAAAGTGTTATTAATAAAAAAATAATATGCTCTAAAACTGCTCAAAAGCGTGCTTGTTCAGAAGCTGCTTAGCCATAATTTCCATGTATGGCTCATAGCACTTCAAAGAATCATTAGGAAGACTTCCAAGAAATTAGATGAGTTCTATCTTTAGAAACAGACATTTCTTAAATGTTTGATATCCCTCGGGCTGTTGGGAGAAATTATATTTTGGCAGAAAATCACAGCTAGAACATTTCAGGTGATTTGGCTGAAGCAGAAAGTAGGGAGGAGTACAGCAAAGATGGTAAATTGGGACTCAGGGATGTTAGATGTTCTAGCACTGCATTAGTCTGGGCTATGCTGGACACATGCTTAATTTCTGAGAGTACAATGAGGAGAGGAGTGTTGTCCTTCCTCCCATTTGATTCTTAGGAAAGCATCCAGTTGAAATTTCACCCTGTGTGAGGTCTTACCTTTCCTATGTGGACCTTAAAGAGGCTGAAGTCCTGGCTTTTTACATCTTCCCAAAGTTAGCCATCCTTCCTTGTTCTGGAAGGTGTTGGCAAAACAGTCTTGAGAGTCGGCTCACGTGGTGTGGAGGTTAACAGAGCTGTAACTCAGTTCTCAATGCTCAGTATCTTCTGTCCATGGCAAAGGAAGGGCAAAGGGCCCAGTGAAGGATATGCCATCAAAGCAGCTGCAATTAAAGAAGCCAGTTGTGGGCAAGAGCTCCTTGAACTGTTGGATGAACAGATTGTACTTACCAGAGGCAGAAGGCAAAGTCTCCAGAGGTGCTGTATTTTAACTTGCCACTTAAATACACTCAGCATGAACTAACGGTCCTTACTATTCTTCATTTGGTTCCCATGGAGCCTCCTACCCCTCCATGAAGGACATGTTATCTGCAAATAGATAATCCACACAGATTAGTGAAAGTTGGAGAATTGGTCATTTTTATTTACTGGAATTTACACATTAATGCAGTGCTAAAGTATTTGGGTTGAGAGCAGAGAACTGTGTTATTGTAAAATTGTTTTATTTGATGGAAAATTAATGTTTGTTTTCCAATTATAAATGATGAGTCCATTGAGAATTGTTCTTTTTAACTTCACACAAATTTGAACTAGGAAAGAGTCTTGAAAGCTCTGTTGTAGTTGGTAGTTTGGGCTTGCTTTTTTTATACATTTTAGTTAGTAAGTAAATGTGAGTTTAGATTTTAATAACAATATAGTCATGGGAATGTGACAGCAAGAGCAAACAGAAGCCTGATGTAATTGAAGATGAGTGATGTGTGTAGCTAATAATTAGACATTCTGTTAGTTTAACAGTATGGTTAGGGTATATCACACATAAAATACAAACACCTGTAACAAAGTGATTCTCTGGAGCTTGCTGTAGGCTGGTGCTTATTGTCACCAACCTGCCTAGCAACTATTTTGCTAGGCAGTGGAAAAGGTGGAAAAGGATTAGCTCTAATAGGCTGAAGCCTGGCTGGAAAAATAATGCTTTAAGAAACAGATTCTAATTCTCTTGATTTCTGCTCCTTTGGTGAAGCTAATATCAGCCATGTGGAGTGACAGACTAAATGTTATGTGAGTCCATCCACCACCTGCCTGGAGTTGCCTGGAAGTGTACTCCACACGAGCCAGCCCAGCCCAGCTCTGGTCTTTTAAGGCCTATATTCTCAACTAAACCTGTCCTTTCCTTTAAAAATTTCACTGTAACTTCTGAGTGAGGAACGTTTTTACAAATGGCAAGTATTAATAGCAACCTGTCCAACCTCTGTACAGTCTTCTTATAGAAGAAGATTGTGTAGAAATATGAAAGGAATGTAAATGTGTCTACTGGTTACAAAGGTTTCCTTGGTTTCCTTCCTCCTTATTTTTTGGGTATTACAAAGTCTAAATTTGTAGTTAGTCTTAAGTAGTAGTGGCCAGATGGTGGAAGGAGGAGTGAGAGGACCTGTTTACTTGAGGTCCCCAGAAACTAAATTTTTATTCTTAAGTAGCAGCACCATTTGCCTTGTCACTGGTAGCAAGATGAGGCTCTGTGTCCTTTTAACAGGCCAGCACATTCAGAAAGCAAAAAAACAATTTTCTTTGGGTTCCATTGTGCTCAGAGAGCTGCAAAATTATTTTCTTGCTGATAACCTTCTCCTGAACACAGGCTGAGGAATTTTACTATATTGGAAGACAAAAATGAGACTTACCTGGAAGGTTAGGTATGGATATGACCTTCATGAGGAAGAAAATAAAGAAGTCTACAAATTTGAGTTACCCCAGAATGTGATATTCTGTTGCAACAAGTCAAAATTCATGTCCAGATGATTATACTTTCTTTAAACTGGCTTATTTACCTGTTCCAGTCTTGCTGGCTCACTGGATTTTTATGAACTACACTGGTGCTCATCAGTTTTTCATCTACATATCAAAGTGGGATTCCCTTTCAGTCCTCAGGAGTGAGACCCTTTGTTCTGTCTGGCTCCTCAGCAGCTCTGATCTCAATGGCAGCCAAACCAGCTGGGAAACCTCTCACTCATTGCTGCAGTAAAAAAAAGCAGTAAAAAGAAGTCTCATAGTCATACCACTCCTGTATTTCTACCAGCTGTGACTAAGTACTCTAGTAATTGTTTGATAACATCATCTTGCATTGCACTGTTTCTCCCTCACACTGCTTTCAGATTTTCTTTCTGATAAGTTTCTGCACGTCAGATTTTCCATTAAGGAAGAAAAAGAAAAGGAAAGTTCTTTGCAACATTTTGTACCCAGAGACTTGTCTCCTGTTGTTCCTGAACTTTCTTCCCATTCTGCTATGAAGAAACAGGGACCCTCCATACAAGTCCTACACGTTAGCACATATATAATCATTAATCACATCTATACCCAGATCTCTTTATTCTTTTTTTTCTTATATCCATCCAACAAGCCCAGCCTCTGTTGCTCCGATGTGGTCCCACATTACTTTGTTAAAAACAGAGTGAGACTTTAATGCCCGTATCGCTGCTCTTCTGCTCTGTAGCATTAACTACATCTGCTACTGTTGTCCTTTTGAAGTAGAGTTATTCT